CAATTCGAAATTTTAGTGGCCAATTTTTCATTGATTTAGTCAACTCTTTATTGTAGTCTATATATGATTATATACTTAATCCATGATAATTCTGTGATTTCTTTTGTGTGCTGTAAATTTAATGGTCAACATAAGTTCATACAGAGAAAGAACATCTCGATATTCATAAATTGATGAAAACAATGAAAGTTAATAATGTAGTACTCCCATTTCTTATTGGATTCTTAGAAAACAACATTTATAATGAATTTTAATAATTTTTTTGAATTTTTTGAAAGCTTAATCCAAGCGATTCGGCCCGATTCCTGATCCGGATCACCGATTCGCCTATCCGGATCGGTTTTTGGGGGTGCCCGATCCGGGTCACCGATCCGTTTTTTAAACCACTGGTTGATGCGAATGCTCTTCTACTTTTCTTGGCTAGGTCATTTGTGGGTTTTGAAGCTGGGAAGTAGAACTGCAATTGTCATCGCCGTCAATGTCAAACGAGATACCCACATCCCAGACCCAAATTCTCTTTTATATGTTCTTGACCCTACCATAGGTGGTCTGCCCTCTGAACAGATGAAGCTTCTGAAGTTGTATCTTGTAATTTACTCTGTATATGTTCTTGATCCTACCATAGGTGCGGTGTCCTCCAAACATATCAAGGTTCCGAAGTTGTATTTTGTTGCTTTTTTGTGTTGCTGTGTGAGTAGTATACATGAATATCTTTTAGAAAATAAGTCACGTGTGAGGGTGGCAATGATGAAAACCCTCCTCACAATCAAACTGTTAAGGTAGTTCATTTGACACCAGACATCAGGATATAGTTCAATTAGTTTTAAATATGACTTCTGGAAAGAATATCCAGCGAATTTCTTTCACTCTTGTTGTATGCAGTTACCCATTGGTTCATAAGTCCCAATCTCCCAAATAGTTTTTGGAAATATGGCTTAGACGATATTTCATTGTTGATAACTATATCGTATTGCAGATTGTAAACATACAAGTGCCATTCTAGTAACAAAACTTGCTGCATTTTCCTATTGTCTCAGACCTCTCAGCAAAACTTGCTGCACTCCCTCCCCCCCCTCTGTCTCTCTCTCACTCTAAAGGGATGCCTTTAGAAGACCTTTGACCAATCTAAAGGGATGCCTTGCTTCATTTCCTTTGTCTCTGTTCCAGTCTCTGTATACTTTCAGTAGTTTCTTACTTCTAATTTAGGTTTTCCATTAATTTGCTAACTTTTTTTGATGAAGTTAACCTTAAATTGATAGAAAGAGAGGGCTATCCACAACCTGGAAGCTCCTCAGAACGAATGAAAAGGAAAGCAAATAAACAAGACGCAAAAAGTCTTCTTAAAGAAGGTTACAAAGAAAGCAACCCAAAATAAGATGCCATTCCCAAAAAATCTGAGTCTTCCATGGTCGCTACTTCTTTAGCTAGGGTGTCAGCAGCTTGATTCCCTTCCTGCCAAATATGCTTACAAGAGATGGTGAATCTCATAAAAAAGAAGAGCCAAATGCCAGGGGTGGGGGGGGAGAAGAGCTCGAGGCTCAGGAAATCACATTCCTAGAATCTCCTTCTATCTGAAGGGATTCAATATTTAGGGGGTGGATAAGTTTAAGGCCTTCCAGCAGTGCTCTCGTCTCCGCTTCTGTAGAGTCGGAATGCCTGATAGGCATGGAGAGGGAGGTGACTGTAAAACCCAGGTGGTCTCTAAGGATCTCACTGACTCCCGATGCCCCTGGGTTGCCCAGGGAACATCTGTTGAAGTTCAGCTTAAGAGTGCCCTATGCAGGAGGTCTCCAGAGAGCTACTTGGGAGGGACGCAAAGGATTGAGCTGGAGAGTGGCCTCCCAATTCTGTTTGAAGGCAGCTGTGGATATCCCTTTGGAGAACTTGTTATTGGTCACCCAAAACATTACTTAATATTTGAGCTTTAGGAAGTGCTTTGCCAAGAGGAATACTCTCCATGAAAGATACAATTGTTTCATTCAATCCAAATGGCCCATAAAGAGGCAGCCACCGTTGATTTCCACAATAACCTCCTGTCCTTTCTCAATTATTTACTTTGAGTGCGAGGTTCCGGCAACTAACAACCCGATAAAGTTCCAGAGCTTATTTTCTTTCCTTATAGGCTTCATGCAGAATAAACGTAACACTTATGCACCTTCTTGTCTTAGAATCAGAAAATTTAATTGCATTTTCTATAATTATCTGAGATGAATATTGTGTACCACGATAAAATTTTTTCCAAGAGATTATTGATGAGTAATGTTACATTGTTATAAATTACCTTAGCCAATGAATTACATTTATGTTTGTAGGAATAGTATTATTCATTGTTTTTGTGGAAATCTGCAGCATCTTGCAAGTCGTTTGGCAAGTGAGGCTGCTGTTAACGATCCAGTAGTGCGTAATCAGATTCAGGCTGAAGCGATACAAGCTGGAATATATACGCACCATTTAGGGGCTCTTCTGCTTGAGCTTGGTCGCACAATTATGACATTGCGGATGGGGCAATCTCCTGTATGAATTTCTTTGTCTAAGAACTGCTTTCAATTCACTTTTGAGCATTTGGAAAAGTTATATTTACTGTATGTAAAAACTATAGGCTGAAGCAGTTGTGAATGCTGGGCCCGCAGTTTATATATCCCCGTCTGGACCAAATCCCATTATGGTTCAGGTAATCATCAGTCCTCTAGAAATTATTTTACTTCATCCACTTGATGTACTGATGAGCGGTTGTCTGGCAGCCTCTACCTTACCAGTCCACCCCTTTCTTTGGTGCTTCTTCCACTGCTCCACTTCAGGCCACTGCTGGAATTCAAGTTTCAGCTGCTCCTGGTGATATACAAAGAAACATTAACATTCATATACATGCTGGTGAGGAGCTTTTATTCTCTCTCTCTCAAAAATACACACACACATGTGCACGTACATTTTTATAATCCCATACAATTCATGGATGGATATAAAAAATGGTGCTTGGTTAGACTTTCTACCCATGTCTGTGGCTGCTTACAGCAAAAAATATTTTTGCACATTGCAATCCATTACGTATCTTAGTTTCTTTTACAATTGCTTGTTCTTATGCTCTTACACGTTCAAATAACAGGTACCTCAGTTTCTCCACGAGTGTCGTCGTTTGCTCCAAGAGCGAATAATGGTGATGTGGCTCATGCTAATGAACGACAAAGCCAAGAACAAACAAACTCGAATCAAGCTGGTTTGCATGGTGCCATGCATGTACTGCCTATGAGAACTGTAGTTGCAGCTGTTCCTTCACGTCCTCCTGGTGAAGCATCCGGCCATATTCTTAGTGTTGTCCTCCCTCTTCATGCAAGGTCACAAGAATCAAATGCCGGCCAGCCAATTCCCTCTCAATCACCCTCTCTAACAGTTTCCAGTGGAGCCCAGGTGGAATCTCATGCTAGAAATATCGATGGAAATTCTCAGATATCTCAAGTCCCAGCAGGTATATGTTACTCATTGTCCAGTTTGGAAATGAAAATTATCTCAAGGAGATTTTAAGCTAATTTCCGTTCTATGATCAATCCTATTGCAAGATTCAAGTCGTCAAGGCACATCATCTGTTCTGTTATCAGCATCACGTTCTGATGTTGAAGGAAACCAGAGCCAGAAAGATGTGTCTGTCAACGGAACTGAAACGGTTGCTGAAGGTTATAGCACATCTACTGCTGTTGAGGAGCCCCAGGTCTGCCTTTTATGACAATTTCTTGTCTGGTTTACCCTTTTTTTTTTGTTGGGCATCTACATTGTAAAGCATTCAAACCTCTTAATTTGCTTGAGGCATCAAGCTGTCATTCTCTGGATTTTTCCCTCAAAGATGCACACTTATGGGTGGGTTCTTCTTCATCCTCAGCCTCAATTTGATGGTAGCCAGCCAAAACGTGATGATGATGGAACCAGTGCATTTTTTTTGATGCAGCAAACTAACTCTGCAAAAGATGCAGCAAACAATCAGGGAACTGCGACATCTTCATCCACATCGACTGGCCCAAAAGCAGCTCCACTAGGATTAGGACCTGGTGGGTTACAGCCTTTGCCTTCAAAGGTGTGTAGAACGTACAATTTGGCTTATTCATGTTGGAAATTGTCTTTTATAGTATATAATGTTTTGGCTCTTGAACTTCACTGTCTGAAGGTGTTTGAATTAAGATTTGCCCTTAGTGGATTGAGTCATTTCCTTTTGCTATTGATGCTTTTGGTTGTGGCTTAATGCTTTGTCAGAAGCGAAGTAAGCCAGCAATGCAGCAACAGTCCAAGGAAGTGGAAACTAGCAATGCAAATGAGAATCAACAATCCTTAATATCAACAGGACAAAGTATTTTACAGGCACTTGCGACAAAGGGGGCGTCCAATACAAGTAGAGCTGCTGATGCAAGTGGTCCCTCGATGTCAAGGCCCTCTGTTATTGGGGGTCAAGCCCCTGGAAATGCAGCGTTTAGGGTACAAGGCTCTGGTGAACAAATTGACGTCGCGAGCGTAATGTCTGACTTAATTCACAGCCCTGCTATGGAGAATCTTCTCTCTCGATTTTCAGATCAAGCTGGGGGTGTCCCAGTGGCTTCACTAAGCAATGCCTTGGAGCAACTCTCTCAAAGTCCTCCAATGAGGAATGCACTTAATCGAATTGTTCAACAGGTGGAAGACAGTAGCCCTGATCTTACAAGCATGCTTTCAGGTTTAGGAAGTGGGCGAGGGATGGACTTGTCGGGAATTTTTAACCAGATGATGCCTGTTGTGGCGCAAGCCCTCAGCAAAGGTTCTGCTCAACCTGTTCCTTCAGAGGGGGTTGACAGAGAGCTGCAGACACTATCTGGAGAACTGAGAAATTCAGCCACTAAAAGTGGTCAGGGCAGTCAAATTTCTCAGGTTGGCATTCCGATCTCAGTGGGTTGATCTTCTAGGAGAAAACATACTTGCAATTTTCTAAGGCATTATTCCAAATTTGTTAAAAAAAAATATGTTTTCTGTTTCCTGTTTCTGAAAGCTTAAAAGCCATTTAAACAAATTGGATTTTACGCTTTGCAGTCTGTAACTGATGTATAAAGTGATGGTCAGGGATGAATATGGCAAAATGAACTGATTCACTAACTAGATTTTGTTGTAAATTCTCCTCAAGCCTGAGCCAGAAAAGTATATCTTGGAACTCTTTCTTGTACCTTTACTTGGTACATCTGACATTTATTTTGAAACTCTGTTGACAGCCGAGTACATACATGATTTCCGTCATCTTCTTCCTTAGCACGTTGGATTTATCAGCAACTTTTATGTATTTTGTGTTTTGAGAAATATTGGGTCGCAAATTTGCTAGTGACTCTGTTGCATTGATGTCTTAGAGATGGTGAATGATAAATGTGCCTCTTATTTCCAGAAAAATAACACGTTTTTCTGCTCGTCATTATTATTTTTTTTTAGCAATCTGAAACATCTCAATTTACTGGAAGAAAACTGTCTAGTTAATAATCTGAGATACTGCTATGCTGTGTTTAGCTTAGGCATTTCTAGAAACTGGTTATACTCAACTGCTTTGGATATGTATGTGTTACACAGGTTGATTTGCAGCAGGTGGTTGATAAAATTGAGCGCCTTGATGCGGCTGGGGATGTTTTCCAAACTATGGTTGAGAATACCTGCCATTTATCTGGTCTAGAAATTGGTCCTGAAGATCTCTTTAATGAAGAGGGTCTTGCTCAGGTAACTATTGTCACTCTTCAGGGGAAAGTGCACGATAATCCCTCAAGGACTATGTACAAACATTTTCTTTTGGATAATAGCCAGCCTTCAAAATCTAAATTTTGAGAGAGAGAGAGAGCACATGTTCCCAATGGTGGTCCCTCTCTCTTCTTTCCATCATTTTAGATGAGATAGAGAGAGAGCACATGATCCCTACGGTGGTCCCTCTCACATTGATGACCTTGGAGTCTATGGTTTCTCAGATGATTGTATGTTTTATGTGAGTTTCATGGTATTGACAAACTAGCTGCTCTCTGTGACAGGAATTCATGGAAATGTTATATCGTGAAATTCGCCGCCGACATGAATCTGAGTCTGGCGGAAAATCTTAAAGCTGGGAACCTTTTTGGTCATTTAGACTTCCAAGCATTGTATGAAATACTTTTAGTGAGTAATTCAGGGATGTCTTCTTTCTGCGTTTTTCCCCACTTCCTTTTTCCTATATGAAAGTGTGCCTTTATTCTGGTTTTTTATTTGGATTCCATTTTAATACAGAAAAAAGATTCATGTAAATCAAGAAAGATTCTCCGAGGATTTCAGCATCTCATACGGCATTCTTGTGCATTTTTAAGATGACGTTGGCCTGTGTGTGTGCATGGGCAGTTTTGAGCATGCAATAATATCGGTTCTTAGATTTTGGTGGGTCATCAACTGTTATCCTTTTTGTTTCCAACAAAATTAATGCCAAGCCTCTTTAATTTTTCTCTCGAGTATGATAAGATAGGTGATCTTGAATTCACTATTCATATTCATCGTTCTCTATGAAATTTTTCTTATATCAATCGCACTAGCTCGTGATATTTGTGCTACATACAGTAAGTACAATATTAATGGGATGTTACTGGCAAATGGTTGCAAAACAAATTAAACATCACAAAAATTGGGTTAACTGTACCACTCCGAAACTGTGGGGGTGATGGATGTTCTGAGCCTATTTGCTGCTACTGAAGGCTGGTCACTGTTATAAAAAATCCAAAGATGCGGTCGAAACATTATGCAAGCTGCTCCTGTAGTGGGTGTACAATCTTCGTCAGTCATGCTGCACCCTCTGAAGCTCAATATCGGACCGTGTCGTGAACTAAGTGAAGATTATATTGAAGTTTGCATGATGATCAAAGGAGAAACTGACAGAGGTGAAACATACGATTGGGGACCGGTTATGCTCTTCTTCTAAATGCTTATTTTTATGGGCAAGCTCTACAGCATAAAACTTTGTATTTCCCTTGATTGAATCGTTCATTCTGAATGGATGGTCAAGATGATCTCAATCACAATGTCATGTTTTTGCACTATTTTTAAAAAATTTTTTTTTTTTACAAAATATTTTGAAACCAAAATTTGGACATCCAATCCTCTCTTAAGCTTGCATTCTTAAAAAAATCTTTTCAATAAAATAAAATGATCAAAATATCTTTGAAAGATTCACGTGGTATTTTGGTAATTATATTTAATTTAAAAATTAATTTTAATATTTTTTTTAGGTGGGCTTCAATGAAGATCAGAATTCTTCATGATTTGGACCAATGGCATGCATATGTGATTAAAAATCAATTTCCAGCATTGATTATGTGATTGTACATCAATCACGTACGCATGCTATTGGTCCAAATTAGTGCCACTCGGGATTGAGATCCTAACAAGTCCCTACCTGTGTCCAACTTTTTATTCACTGATATGCCCACTCCATTTACGTACAAAAGATCAGTAATAGTGCTCGATAACTATTTCTGAAAACCATGTAGAACTTTGTAGGACATAGGGGATCCAGATTGTAAATTAATCAACATCCATGATGCATCTTTGCTGGGGAGGACTACTACTATTTTGTCAATCTATCCTTATGCTTTTGAAAACTCCCCAGTCGGCCATGATCTGCAAGAGATACATGCAAATTGAAATTCGACATTTGAGAAGTTCGCGTTCTAATCAGTGAGAGAATAGCCACTCTTTCTTTTCTCATCAATAAATAAAGATGAACAGTAAGTTTCTCTCATCATTCTCTGCTTCTTGCTCTTGCCCCAAAACTTTGATCTACCATTTCATCCGAAAGAAAAATCTCATCTAACGCCCTTATGCATACACAAATTTTAGATCCCCAATCTTTGAATGGATTTGCAACAGGATGACGCAATGTTGTCAAGTTCGTTTCGGAGTCTGCTACGGTTTTGTTTGACAAATGAAACAATTCGGTGTTTTGGTTAATTCAGGAGAAGATTTCGGGTTTTCTTTTTATAATTTTAAAATTAATATTTATAAATTTTTTAAAATAAATATAAAAAATTCAATAATAAATAAAGTTGTTACAAAATAAAAATTATCAAAACATAATTTCGACTTACATATTGGTGGGCCCTTCAAAAAAAAACCTCATCGAAATATTCAAACCGCTATTCAATAAATTGTCTCAGTCCCAAGCTAACTCATACCCGTATTGGTTTGTGGTTTTGTATAAAGTGATAAAGACCAATGCGTGTCATCAGTTCATATACGTACAAAGTCAATCCTTGTCAAGACGAAAGTTATTACCTTTTCAAAAAATACTTGTCAACATCATATGCATCATCTGCCAAAACACATAAAATTTCGGCTCAGTGCAAAGCTAAGTTTCAGGATAAGCATTCGCCTCTCTCCGGTTGAATGAGGAAAATCGAAGGTTTCGGCCGAAGCAAGCCGAATTTAATAACATTGGGATGAAGCACTTAATGGAAGTTTGCCCAACACTCAACAAAGCCTCGACATATTAATGTGGTCTGATGGATCAAAAAAAAGAAAAAAGGCAATCTTACTAGCTTTGCTCATATATCTGTTGCATCTGACTGCATCAGCTCAATTTCATTGCGCAATGATACAATGCCCTAGCAGCAATGCCTAATTGCTGGAACAAGGTTTTGCATGTAATATGGCATGTTTACATCAGTTCAGAATCTAGAAAAAACAGCAGAAATTGTGACATTCCAAACTTGCTCACTATCATGTTCATTGGTTTTCATAAATTTTAACTCCCAGTCTACTGTCAAAAAGACGCCATAGAAAAGTAGTTGGTCATCAATAATAACATAAATTATCATCCGACAAACATTTGCATGATCAGAAACCTACTTTTATGACATACTATCTCCATAACGAAGATATAAAACTTTAAAAACCAAACTTTACATGCTCTGGTGAAAAGATTGAGACAGTGTTATAGAGAGTGATACAGAATCCCAACTGGTATACCTGTTAATAAATAAATGAAAAATTACGAAGCAGTGAAGAATATTGCATTCTTAAAATTGTGAATCTGTGGGATTCATTTCTGTTCCCTCTTACTAGTGTGGTTCGACTTGTGATTTCTCCACTGCTGCGCATTGATGGGAAAAAGAGTTCTCTAGCAGTAGAGAACATCAACAGAATATCCGCTGAAGCAAGAGACATGTAAGCAACCAAGGCAGGGACTGCCCTTCATTTAAGAGGCCCTTCTTCAGAGAATGAAGTGCAATTTTCTCTCTCCCTTTTTTTTGTTGTTTTGTTTTTGTTTTTTTTTGTTTTTTGTTTTTTTTGAGAAATGTCCTCATTCATCCAAGCAACCATATAACTCAGAAATATAATCTAAAAGGTAGAAGGGAATTGAGGTGCTCATAAAATCAATGTTTGAACTATATTGTTCCAAAACAACTGTCTTTCCCCTTTGAAAAGATTCCTTGTAAGAAGAGAGGTGGGAATACTAAGATTGCAATTTCAAGTTGTGGTGAAAGTCCAAGGAGTAAAGGTGGAAAGCTTTGTTGCGTTTAGCCCAAAAACCCACCAAGGAAATGACCTCTCTTTGTGGACTTCGCAGGTGGCTCTCTCCCCACAGAAGATTCTACTGTTTCTCTCCTGCCATAATACCCAAAGGATTGCAGCTACCGAGGAACACCAAAGTAGAATCCTAGCATTCGACCATGGTGGCAGGAAGGACTTGTACAACTGGGGGACAGACTGAGGAGTCACCCACGACCAGGATCCTAATTGATTCATCCATTCCTAATTGGCTCGTCTGTTAACTGCTCAAACGCTTATCATTAGTTATTTATTAGGGGAAATTTCAAAAAAAACTCCAAAATGGGCTTTTTACGCACTTTACCCCCCCCACCCAACTTTTCCTAGCAAATACCCCCATACAAAAGTTCTTTTTTTTAGACAAAAATACCTTTCCCTCACATAACAAATTATTTTCGTTGGAGAGGGCGGTCCAGCATTTTGAACAGGCGGTTCGGCGATTATTTTTCCAGAAATGGCCGGTCTGGAGTTTCATGGTTGAGGTCCGACGATTATTTTTTGCTAGAATGGGCGGTCCGACGTTTTGAATTTGCGGTTCGGCATTTTGAAGGAGCAGTCCAGCATTTTGATATGTCGGTCCCGCATTTTGAAAGGGCAATCTGGTGTTTTAAAGTGAGCAGTCCGGCATTGTACAAGTACGGTCCGACGTTTCTTTTTATTGGGATCCGAAAATAATTTGTTACATGATGGAAAGGTATTTTCGTCAAAAAAAAAAACACAACTTTTTGTATAGGGTTAATTTTGTGGGAAGTTGCTAAGAAAAGTTGAGTGGAGGGTAAAGTGTGTAAAAAGTTCATTTTGGGGGGGGTTCTACAATTTTCCCTATTTATTATTACTTGAACATGTCATTAGTGAACACCCCGCCAGTATCCATCCCCACCACAAAGTTATCTAATGGTGTAAAACAACTCCAAATTTCACTCACCTATACAAATACTCAACCTCTCCAGTCCGAGCCAACTACGTCACAAGTAACCATACTCAAACAAACAACCACACATTGTTCCTACCTAATTATTAATTCAGGTCCTTCAGCCTTACCAAAGCTCATGAATAATCATTAAAAAAACAAGGGCCTTGCCAAAGATCGACACCATTTCTGAAAAATTATACCTACTATCTATCTTGTACCGCCTCCTTCTCCTTCGCAATGAACTTGGGCACAGTGACTAAGACAAATTTGTCTATACACGTGACATTTGGACCATCTTGATTTGCTAACCACTATTGACACTGATTTCCCGAACTAATTAAAATGTGTACATATGTTCAAATTATTGAAGGGCATTTTTGTCCATTCTTATTTTCTTCATTTATTAATTACTTCTCCATTTCCTGTTTAATTCATCTGGGTCCTTCTATTCAGTGTTTTAAAATGCGAGATGCGGCCCTGATGCGGTGGGGGGAAAATACGGCTCGATGCAGCCCGAATGCAGGTGCATCGCGATGATGCGATCAATAAATGTAAAAAAAATCTAAAAAAATAAGTTAATACATAAAAAAAACTATGAAGGTGATATATGTGATAGTAGGTATTTTAGTTTAATGATTAACTTCAAAACTATTAGCTGTCATAGATTTTGTATCCAGTTATCCACTATCCCTTGATAGAAACTAGAAACTTGAAAGCATCTTCATAAAGCATTCAACAATCAACAACCATCAGCACAAATTTACACCATAAGCACAACTATAATTAAGCACAACCATAAACAACCATAAGCACAAAATAATGATATTACAAAATACAAAACAAAAGTCAAGCTCAAGAAGAGTTAATAGTTAATAAATAATAACTTAATACAACCATCCATTTTGAGAGTCAATTTTGAAACTTGAACTTCATTTTTTCAAATATCAATCAAACAAGTTATCTTGAGAGTCGTCAAGCGCATCATCAATATCATCCTCGATGGCCACCATGTATTCTTCTTCATCGGTCTCCTTTGAGTCAGCTTCCTCCTCAACCTCTGAAGCTAATGTGCGAGTGCGACTAGACCCCGCAACTCCTCTACTCCTTTTTACTCTAGTGTTAGGTCAATCTTCTTTATTCGCCCCTGTTGCTAGCTCGACATCAAGCCATGTAAGATCCTCACCTTCAAACACATGCTCTTGTCTTGGATTCATGGTCCACTCACTTATGTAATCACCATCAGCTTCATATAATTGAATAGGGTTGAGCTTCGTGCGATTATCATACCTCTCCTTAAGCCGCTCATTATACCGCACATAAACCAAATCATTCAACTTTTTCTGCTCCAACCTATTTCTTTTTTTGTATGGAGCTGTGGTAGAAATTTGAAATCAAATAAATTAGATTTTAGATTAGAAAATTGAATTCAAGAAATAAGGATTAAGGAATTAGGAGTAAATGACTAACATACTCAAATGCACTCCAATTGCGCTCACAATCAGATGAGCTATATGTGAGATTCAACACTTGAATAGCGAGACGTTGTAGATTTGGCGTCTCGCTTCCATATAATGCCCACCATACAGCTGTATAATATTTTATTTTTAGAATATAATTAAAAATTAAGTGTATAAAATAAACAATGGAACTATACATAAAGTAAGAGACCAGTAAGATTATTTTTGGCCTTTACCTGGATCTGTAATGTCCCTATTTCGAGTGGCAATATCTCTCCCAAAGTTTCCCAAGGCTAACTTGAACTTAATCAATTCATGGTTTTGGATCTCATCATGGATATCTTTGTCTGGCACCAACCTCTCCAGCACATCTAAGAACCCACCATTTATTACAGGATCTGACTCAATGGATGGGTGCTTGTAGTGAAGAGATGGGTTTAGAAAATAACCGGCTGAATGGAGGTGCCTGTGAAGCTAGGTATCCCATTTCCTATTAATAATTTCAAGTATAGCCTTGCGCATATTTTCATCATCCTTTAAAACATCTTTTATTTCAGTTCTTATCCTATTCATTGCCTCATGTATGTAGCCCATGGCGGGCTTCGCATCACCATCAACCAGTCGAAGCACTCTCACTAAAGGGCGAGCCACCTCCAATGCAATAATTATTTGACTCCAAAAAGACGTATTCAGAATAATTTTTTCAGCCTTTCTCCCATCCTTATGTTTTGACCATTTGCTTTGACTCCATTGCTCTAAAGCAAACATGGTTCTCAAGTTTGCTTGACTAGGCTTCGAAGAGTGAGAAATGACGTGGCAAATCTAGGGATACCTGGTCTTACTAATTCTCTCTTCTTTGTAAAAGACTTCACAATGCTTAGGACTATGGTGTGATTGTAAATAAATCCAACAACAAACATAGCTCTTGAAATCGCCCCACTAAATAAAGATGTTGTACCCATTTCCTTAAGCATAAGATTAACACAATGAGCTGCACAAGGAGTCCAAAACATATGCTTCCTTTTCAAAGTCAAGAAATGCCCAGCTGCAGCATAGTTGGCACCATTGTCAGTGATAATTTGTACCACATTTTGCTCCCCAACAAAATCGATAATCTCATCCATCAAGCTAGATAAGTATGTACCATCATGTGACTTGTCTGATGTATCAATAGACCTAACAAAAAAAGTACCTGTTGGGCAGTTAACCAAAAAATTAATGAATGCCCTTGATTTCCCATCGGACCAACCATCACACATAATAGTGGCCCCATATTTCTCCCACCCTTCTCTCTGAGAAATCAAAATTTTATTCACATTAAATACAACATCCTTCAACAAGAGCTCCCTAACCTCATGTAGTGAAGGAGGAATAAGTCCTGAGCCATATTGCCCAATTGCCTGGACCATATATGCAAAACTATCCAGAGTTATACTATTAAAAGGAATGCCAGCCATGTAAATCCATTTTGCAACCCACTTACATACCGACTTCCTTTGTTTTGTCTTATATTTATTATCAATTGTGGTTTGTTTTGTTTTTTTCTCTCTTCTGAACCACAATATCGGGGCTAAGGGTGAAAAAAGAATCCATTGGCCCCTTAGATAGAGGTGTTCTTCTCTCAGCACTACCACCAATATTTATAACCCTCTCTCTTGAGGTTGGAGTATAAGTACCCATTTGCCTCATCGCAACTTCAGACATATCATCATCATCATCATCAACATCATCAAATAATTGCATATCATCAAGTAATTCCTTTATTTTCTTTTCTTTTTCCTCTTTAGCCTTTTCCAATCTATCCACTCTAATCTCCTTTTTTATATCATATGTAGCTTGTGGGCATGCTCTTACATTCCCAAAAATTTCGGCTAAATGCTCTTTTTGTCGAAAAATACCACCCATATAAGTATTTCCACGGAGCAAGCATATCACACAATTTCTATCTTTCGGATTTTTTAGTTTAGCATATTTCCAAGCCGGATCCTTGTTACTAGAAGATTGGGAAGAAGACATTGCCCCAAAAATAAGTATAACAGTATTATTGTACAAGAAGGAATAAAAAGTTACCGACTCTATAAAATAGTGCTCGATTTCTTTACGATTCTGAAATCCCCAATTTCTTATCACAAATTCACCTTAACATCCCCAAATCAACAATCAAAGGCATCAAATGAACATCCAAGGATCAAACAACCGCCAAATCAAAGATTTGCTGAAAAAAATAATTTCACGAAATTTTTTTTTCCCCTCGATTTGATGCAAAAAAAGCCACAAAAGTGGCTGGAAATCTTCGTTTAGGGAGTATAATAACCCCCCAAACAGTTTCCCTAAACTTTGGAACTACAAAAAGACCATTTTGCCCCTCCTTGAGGGGCAAAATAGAAAATTTTTTCCACAAAAACAGATGCGGCGCAATGCGGTCTGATGCGGGATGCGGCCATGTTGCGGCGCGATGCGGGATGCGGCCATAATGCGGCACATATGCGCCCGCATCTGTCAAAAGCGCATATGCGCCAGTTCGCGATGCGGATGCGAGCGCATCCCGGCTGATGCAGCCGCATTTTAAAACACTGCTTCTATTTAGGTTTTTACTTATTGACTATGCCTAACAGACATTAGTATTATTTCCTAAAGTACCAATCTGTGTATATGTGGGCCTTTAATATCATTAGTTTCATAAATGCCGGGCCAAAAGCTATCAAGGTACTAGGCCCAAGGTTTGGTTCTCAACATTTGTAGATATCTCATGATATGTATGTAAGCCCTCAATTCAAAAGTTCATGGCTAGTCATTGTTTTTTCACCTTCACAAGGGTCATGTAGATTCTTTCGTGTTGCTTAAGGTACAGTGTGAATGCTCTTCAAGGTACTAGGTTTTGTTCAATAGAGATTCGAGACCAAACAAAACAAATAGAAGTTTTAAAGCAGCCACATGTGCAGCAACCATCATCCCTGCACAAGTGAAGGGACATCCATTCTACATCGGTTTTTGTCCTATGAGTGCTAAAACTGGTTTCATCTGCAACTCTTTTTTATTATTTGGGGCAGTAAAAGACAACTATGCAAGATTTCCATATACAAACTTTGACAAATAGCCTTGCCACATGACCCCTTTTGTGCCTGACATGGTCCAGACATGTGTTTCATGGCACATGTAACTTCAAAGGATGGTCTTGGAGTGACTAATTCCTATTCAAGATTAGGTAATTTCAATCATGGGTTTTGACAATATTTCGTTTAGAATTAAGTTGCTTGACTGTTTTGAAATTCTTGTATTCTATTCATTGTGGAGGAAATTTCATACCAGCTTCTCTTGCAAAATATTTTGCTGATTCCTCTTGTCCTTGAATGTTGTCGAGAAATATTCTATTTGATCAATTAATAATACTAACATTTAATACACCTGTTAAAAAGAAAAAGAGTAACATCTAACATATGCTAAGTCCTCATCATGGTCAGCTGTGTTCAAGTATACCCCTAAAGGCCCTAATCAATGGGAAGATCCATGCTTTTTGGTTGTTTAACATGATGAACCATCTGTCTCAAATCCCATGCCTTTCTTGAGAAAACCAGAACGACTTCATATTAGTACCTTAATTAAAGTGGATTCTTGCATCAACAGAACAAGTCATGATTTTATCCTCCAGGAGAAACATGATGTCCTAAATGAGGATAGAATGGAATCTTATAATATCGTGACCATTTTATAATGGGTTCATGCTATATGTTGATTGCTTCATTATATAACACAAAACTACAATAACACTCATTCATATTATGTAAGCAATCTTCCTTGCTGTAATCGTAAATACAAACAGAAACATTTTTTAAATGATTCATACAATTAATTGATGCTTCGTTGTTTGCATGCAACTGGACTGTAGGACAAAATGAATCAATGAGATAAAACTCAAATGAGCACTGTAATCCATTGCATACATTGGGACTGGGGTATATTAAGCAAGGTCATGCAAACCTAACAAACGGAGGAAACTGATTGTGCATGAACAAAAAAAAAGTGTCCCTAAAAAAAAAAAAATACAAACATAGGGTCATAAAACTGCAGGCAAAGCCACCCCCATGCCAGGACAAGAAATCAACCTGAATGTAAGCCATCACCACACAAGAAAGACTGTGGCCAAAACGCAAACACTTGATTGAATCCATAAAACCACAATAAAAGCTCACAGTCACAAACGATCAGCAACACATTGATTATGAATCAGAGATGCAGAAATTCACAATAGCTAAACACAAAGTGTTCAAGTCCAGTGCTTACATAATAAAATAAACACCGACTGCTTCTATTCCTTTCATTCAATATGTGAATAACACAACAGTACAAGATGGCTCACGACAAACAACAAACTACTCAAAATTTGATCCCATCACTCAATCTTCCATGAGAAAGCTTACCCATTTCTTGAAATCAGCAATAAAGATTCCACAGAAATGACCAGTTTTTTAAATGAAGCGGCATCTTCTATGAGTGAGAGAGAGACAAGCTATACCTATTCGGAGGAAGGAGGAGGATAGCCCTGGAAAAGAAGCTTGAGGGTGGAAGCGAAGGAGCCAGTGGGTTCTAGGGCGGCCTCATCAGTCAAGGCGTTCTCGATGGAGGCCATCCTCTGAGAGAGATGGTGGTGCTCCTCTCTTAGAGCCTCTGTGTCCTCCAGGAGGTCGTGAATGCGGTATTTCTGGCCGAGAGACCGCATGCTCAGCATCATTACGCCTGTCATCAGAAACAACTGTACGAAGCTGTGCTTTCTCTTGAAAGCATTTCCCCATAACCCCACCCTCCTCCGCTTAACCCCCTGCTCACCTTCGTCCGCCATGGCCTCTCTGCTTCCGGCTTGACTCATGGTAACTATATTGTCATATAAGAAAATGTTTGATAGGGCTGCAGCCCTATCTAAATAAGTAAAAGCCGAAAAAAAAAAAAAAAAAAAAGGCCTCGACTTTTTACGCAATTTACTCGCTCAACTTTTGTCAGCAAATACCCGTTCTTTTTTTTTTTTAAAATAAAAATACCTTTCGACGTCTTGGAATGAGCAGTCTCGGTCTGAGTTTCCTTTTATTGGCATCCAAAAACCTTTTGTGTAAGGGTATTGATCAGGAAACATGATTTTTTTTTGTGGGAAGTTGCTAGGAAAAGTTGGATGGGTAAAGTGCTTAAGAGTCCATTTTAGGAGTGAGGGGTTTGTAGTTTTAAAAAAAATAAAGCAAAGCCTCATCTCAAAGGACAAAGTTTATATAAGGATACAACCTTATAACGTAGAACTACGGATGCACCTCAAAAACCCATCGGAAAAGGTAGTTTTAATGTTGAAAAACGTTTGATTGATCATCTCAACATCGAAATGTATGACCATAAAAAATAAAGAGATTTTAAGTCTCATAAATAGTGCATTTTACAACATATTACCTACACCGTCCATTTTTAAGATTTTCATATGTTTATAGATCTACTTGATTTTAATCATTTTTGAAATTTAAAATTTTATACTTAAATATAAAAATAGATTTTGAGATAATCTTAAAAATATTTTACATCAAAATTATATACCATGATAAATTTTGAAGGTGCAGCTACGCCAACTGTACCCCTCAAAACTAAACCAAAATTGCAGTTCTAGTAACATAAAATCTCTAAGGGCCCCGTATGCCAACTGCACCTCTCCTCAAAACTAAACCAAAATTGCAGTTCTCATATCAAAAAATCTCTAAGGGCCAGTATGCCTACTGCACCCCTACTCAAAAAATCTCTAAGGGCCTGTTTGACAACTGAGCTATATCTAGAACCTGGAAGTTCTTTCTGTCAGAGAAGCTAGATGATCTTTCTCGAAAACTATTGTGTTTGGTAACTTTTCTAGAATTTAGAGGGAGCTGGGAAACCTGTTTGGTAAAGCTATTACCAGGTAATTAACCGGTTTAATTCAAAAGAATTTGCATTGGCAGTTGTATTAAGTTACTATTTTGATCATCCACAATAGACCAAGGATCATGTTGGGCAGTTTTCCCAACCATTCATCTTCTTCTTCTATATGTTACGAAAATGACAATCACCTTGTGTTGGGGCAAAATTATGGATTCCTCAAATGCTGGATCAGCGTGTGGAAATTCTTTTTTTCTTGGTTCATGAGAAAATTGCTAAGGAACCAATATTTCCCTGTTAGTCAATATTAAAACAAAAAAACAAAAAAGAAAAAAGAAATGATTAACATATCCTTCTAAACCACATGAATTAGTATTGAAGGAGCAAGTAACAGAGGAATTGGTATGAAAGTTATCAAAGAAACCAACAAACTTTTCAATATATATTTCCCCAATTTAGTGGATTCTACACCATTGTCAGATACCTAAATCTACTGTTCCTTTGAGGTTCTACATTGCAGTTTTCCATGATAATTACTGCTTGTGTCCACGTCACAAAATAAAAAAATCTAATTCATTGTGTAATTGAAGAAGGCCAAAATAATTGCCACAACTCAGGAAATTAAAAAATCTAATTCATTGTGTAAATGAAGAAGGCCAAAGTAATTGCCAACCATGTATTCAACTGTGATTCACACTTTCCCATAAATTTAATTTCATTATCATAAAATTTATCCTAATTCATTGATCAGTGAATTCTCGTAAAACTGAGAAAAAACCATTAAAATTTTAAAATTTTCAATACATATTTCCCCAATTTAGTGGATTCTACACCATTGTCAGATACCTCGGTCTATTGTTCCTTTGAGGTTCAACATTGCAGTTTTCCATGATAATTACTGCTTGTGTCCGCGTCACAAAATAAAAAAATCTAATTCATTGTGTAATTGAGGAAGGCCAAAATAATTGCCACAGCTCACAAAAATAAAAAATCTAATTCATTGTGTAATTGAAGAAGGCCAAAGTAATTGCCAACCATGTATTCAACTGTAATTCAGACTTTCCCATAAATTTAATTTCATTATCATAAAATTTAGCCTAATTCATTGATCAGTGAATTCTCGTAAAACTGAGAAAAACCCATTAAAATTTTAACATGTAAAACACAATAAAAATTCCCAAATCATAAATCAGGAGAGAATGAATTGAAAATGATTAGACATCGACCTTTTATATCCTTGCTTGCTTTCCTGGAAATCCAAATGATCTTTCTGTTTTCAAATTTTGAAATCCATTTTTTTTTTATGTCCACGCATCTTGAGGTCAAGATGATCAATTTTAAGATATTTAGGTATCAAAAGAGGACATTTGATAATAAAGCTCTGGACGTGGAATTGGTTAAAAGAAAGATTCTACATTCGGTTTGGAGTTGGTTCTCTGAGACAAAAGAAGGGTTTGGAGTGACCAAAGTGGATGGTGGGATTAATTTGCATAATTTAATGCTTCAAAAAGTAATGAAAGTGAGACCAAAATGTAAGTGGAGCTTACCTATGCTAGGGAGTATCAAACTAAACTTCAATGGAAGCTCATTAGGAAACCCAGGCCTATCTGGAGTTGGAGGAATTTTATGAGATGCATTTGGAGAGGCGATCTTTTGTTTTGCTAGCCCTTGTGGGGAGGTAACTGCTAATGAAGCAGAATTGGTTGCGTTAGAGTGCGGAGTTCAGATTGTGAGTCAGAAGAATATCAGAATGCATGTATTGTAGAAGAGGATTATCTTAATGTGATAAATTGGTGCAATAAGATATCCAGGCCAGCATGGAGCTTGAAGAGGAAATGGCCAAATATTATGGATATGTGTGAGGGTCTCCAAATCTTATTTCAGCATGTGTATAGGGAGGCTAATGACATTGCCGATGGATTGACAAAATGAGGGGTGTCTCGGATGTTTTTCCTTTTTGATTGGATGTAACCTTTGACTGATTAACAAAGCTTTAGTAACATTGTCAAAAAAAAAAGAAGGATATTTAGGCATCAAAACAACCTAGTAAAATTTTTGAGGTGGGCTCTAATTTGACTGTTTAGAGCCTGGGCCTTATATAACTTTTTCCTTAATAAATACCTCAAAATTTTTGAATTTTATGAAGATGTCATTTTTCTTCATCTTATTATTTGAAAAAATTACGTATGCACAGGATTTCAATGCGTTTATTATGGTATGGGTCACATTTTTACAAAAATTACGTGGAGACCATCTCTGTCTGCACTTGTCTTTCTAGAATTACTCACCTATTTGGCATTTCCAAATCCTTCAAGTTTTCAACCATCTCTATTAGTAGGAGTATGACCAAAACCAAATAGACACATTGTTCAGTGTTTCTAATACCAGACAACTAAACTTCTTAAGCAATCCAACATTAGAA